CACTGAAAAAAATACTAATTCAGTCATGGGCCAGGTTATATGTGAATCCTGTCCATATTTTCCTTGAATTTTATTGTCTATGCTAACAAAGTGTTAGTTACAACAATAGAAAGGGGGGCTGTCCATGATTCTACTAATACAAAGGAACATTATGGTTTAGCCTGACCCGCTGACACAACACTGGTTGTAGGATATCACTCGGCAATTTCTGTAGCAAGCATGAAACTTCTGTTTAAGCCACAGATCGAGTTCGACTGAGTGTATTCTCACCCTTCAAAAGCAAACATTTCATTGACATTTTGTCTTCCTATGGATAGAGCTCTTGTTATGGATCCCACTTGGATGACTGCTTCTGCGTTCTGCTATATCAGTGTATAATCTAGTCATGGCAGAGACCTGATGCTATTAGGAAATGCATTAACACTTGGAAGCCAGGCTCTCAGTTGGTATATATCTGTGGTGCCTGCATATACCCACTGAGGATCTGGCCCATCGTCACACAGGATCCAGACAGTGGTTTCACACTAGTTGCCTGTGAACAGTTGCCCTTGTATTTTATTTATGAATTCAGAGCATGGATGAAATAAGAATTTTGAGAGGTCTTGCTTGTTTTTGGAACGCTATAAATGTGCAACTATGGATGGAACTAGCTGGTAGAAATGGTCATGACCTTGACAGTGCAACTTGTCATCTTGCTTGGCACACGTGCCAGGGGGAGGACAGCGGGGGAGCTGCGAGGGGCCCAATCCTTGTTGTGGCAGCGCAGCCTTGGGCCCTTCCTTACCGTCCACCTCGAGGCATGTGTGCACCTACTGCCAGCCGTGAGCTGGGCTGGGGCTCTGGAGACCCCGGTGCAGCTGCTTGCAACCTCCCTGCTGCGAGCAGCCCAGGCTCCGTGGCAGACAGCAGGGGCCTGCCTAGAGCACAGGCTGGCTGTGGCAGGCAGCCAGGAGGCTGCAAACGACTGCACTGGGGTCCAGCTCATTGCCAGCAGTAGGTGCATGCACGCCTCAGGGCGGGCAGCGAGGAAGGGGCCGGGGCTGCACTGCTACAATAGGAATCAGGCCCCATGCAGCTCCCCTGCCATCCACCCATGGCATGCCAACATCTTACAAGTCAAGATTGCAGGTGTTTTGGCACTCTGACCCAAAATGTTGCCAACCCCTGGTTCTAGGATTTAATCCATATTATGATGGACCAGATTTTCAAAAGCCTTCATTTCCCCCATGTGCAATCAGATTTACAAAAACACCCCTTTAGCTCTCCCCTTAAATGATTACCTCAAAAGGAATGTTCAGCACTGTGCAGCTTGTAATATTTCCAGTGGGTGGGGGGGAGGGGAGCAGGAAGGAAAAAGGGAAATCAGGATAGCAGGGTTCATAAACTAGGCTCCTTTTCCCAGTAATTCTTTCATGATGTTAAAGGTGACACTAAAATGGCAGACAGCACAGAGAGACATTTAGACTATCAGTAGTAACACAGATATGATTCAATGCCAAATGCTTTGTTAACATCAACATTAAACTAAACAACAGGATATTTTCAGATATTGTCATTTTCAGAATGACAATACAGTGTTCTAGAAGCAACTACTACCAGGGATGGTGTGAATACAACAGTGGCTTCACATTTGGATTCTCTCCCTAGGTCTGTCACTGCCCTGCTTTGTGACCTCTGTGCCCATTTTTCATTTTGTTCCATTTCACTAAACTATGTGGTGTGAAGAACTGTCTCCCACAGCATGGGTGTAGTTCAGTGTCCAATGCAACGGGGTTCCAATTTTGGTCGTGGTCTCTAGGATGTAATACACAAAGAAAAATAGAATCATAACCACTCTGAAAAGCAAACATACGTCAGGCTTGTAATTCACATATTTATCAAAATGTAGCTTACTTGTTTAGAAATGGAACAAAGCATCAAGGATTTAGAAGACAGCATATAAAATGTTTCTGCATTGCATTTACATCAATGTCCAAGGTTGTCAAGAGGCACATTTTGTGACTCAACTACACTTAAATATTTAAAAAGATACAGTGATTTTCCTCCTTTTTATCCACTTCTTACACATTAATTATATATCATATTGTATCTATGGTTTCCCATTTATTAAATGTTATATTAATATAGGAAGAAAAAAAAAATCAATAGCAGCAAATCCATTCCAATGCTGGGACTTCTGCCCAAAATGTAGTATCATCACAACCTCAAATGGCTTCCCATCATCAGAGACTGGTGTAAAACCTCACTGGGGTTTGTCTTCCTCTCTAAAAACCTCTCTCTGACTACTGTCTTACTATGCAAGAGTCCAGCCAGAAGCTGAACCTGTAAAATCTCCTTAGGCCCTATGAAAAGGTAAGTCAATGAGAATGTTTCCATACCCTGGATTATAACAGAATATGTTTTATGGCTCTCAAGAGGGATTAATATCATGGACCATACTTCCCCATCAATGTTCAAAAAATTTCCCACCAAGATCCAATGACTAGTTCTATATGCTACTCATGGTAAGTGCAATAGGGAGCCCTGGCCCTGTTATAGGGAAGTGGTGTGGCCCCTTAAGGGCAGGGTCTTAGCACAGGCAGCCAGCAGAACAGGGGTTAAGGAGCAGCAAAGTGAGGGGACAGAGGGGGGCACAGAGGGGGGCACATGACCAGAAGGGGCAGGGCTTGAGTGAAGCATAACCCAGGGCAGTCACCCTGGCCCTGCAAGCTATAAGGGAAGGAGCTCTGGGTGCAGGGAAGCTAAAGGAGACTGCCTGGCTGAGGAGAGACAACCTGCAACCTAGATACCTACAGCCTACAAGGAAGTAGGGCCTGGTACAGGAGACAGCCTGGTGGTTCAGGCCAGGAGTGAATGTTTATAGATTCATAGATGTTTGGGTCAGAAGGGGCCTTAGCAGATCATAGAGTCCAACCTCCTGCCCAGGGCAGGAAAGAGGGCTGGGGTCAGATGACTCCAGCCAGGTGCATGTCCAGCCTCCTCTTAAAGACCCCCAAGGCAGGGGAGAGCACCACCTCCCTTGGAAGCCCATTTCAGATTCTGGCAACCCTTGCCATAAGTTCTTCCTAATGTCTAACCTGAATCTGCTCTGTCAGTTTGTGGCTGTTGTTCCTAGTTACTCCAAGGGGTGCCCTGGTAAACAGGGCATCTCCTATTCCTTGCTGTCCCCCTGCCCCCTCCCCCACTGGATTTGCAGGCAGCCACAAGATCACCTCTCAGCCTTCTCTTGCATAGGCCCCGAGATCCAGGGCCCTCACTCTCTCCTTGTAGGGTTTTGCCTGCAGGCCCCTAACCATGCGAGTGGCCCTCCTCTGAACCCTCTCAAGGTTATCCACATCCCTCTTGAAGTGTGGCTCCCAAAACTGGATGCAGTACTCCAACTGCAGCCTGACCAAGGCCACATAGGGGGGAAGTATTACCTCCTTGGACCTGTTTGTCATGCACCTGCTAATGCATGATAAAGTGTGGTTAGCTTTACTTTATGTTGAGACTTAGCATGGGGATAATTTTCCACAGTAGCCAGCGGGCTCTTTGGGTTGTAATGTAAACTGGTGGTTTGGGGGGCGGGGAGGGGGAGGAGGAAAGGAGGGGCAGGTAGGGACAGACTGTAAGGGGTGTTTTTTTGGAGGTGCCATTAGTGCCCTAGGGGCATGCAATTGCCTCGAGTCCTGCTGGGGCAGGCTCAAGGCATAGCTACAGTGCCAAGAGCGTTGGGGCCACAGGGCCCAGAACCCTGATGAGGCAGAACATGGGGCTGGGACCCAGAAGCCAGGTTGAGAACAAAGGGCCTTGGCTAAGGTACCAACCAGGAAGCCTGAAGTCTCAATAAGGGAATGAAGGCCTGAGGTGGCCTGGTGACTTAGGGACAAGTGTCACATCAGATTACTGACTCAAAACACCTGTGAGGCAAGGGGTGTGGTATAGGGACGGACGGAGCAATGCAATAAGCTCTTAAAGGCAAGCAAAGCTGAGAGAATCAATCACTGGATAAGAGAGAGAGCACCTTAAGTTTGCCAGTCTCTGAGGGCAGCCTCCCTTTCATAAAGTTTCCATCAAGACGTGGCAGGAAAGAATGCAACGTGAGACCTTAAAAGAGTGCAGAGAGAGAATCTATTAGGAGTTAGGGGATCTGTAGGGGGCGTGATAATGGTCCTCAGGCACCTAACCTGCTACAGTAGGAAACAACCTGCAGAAAGCCATGACAAGCAATTGCTTTAAAGCAATTCTAGTGGTAAAAAAAAAAAAAAAAGTGATTCACCAGGTTATGTATGCCCATCTCCAATACTTCTTCTGGAAAAAAAGACCACGTGCTCAACAGTGCCTCTTTAAATCATGTTAAAAATAAAACTGTGAGCAGGCAAAAGTGCTCAGGAAGCAAATATTATCAACCATAATCCTTGAGTTATTGGAAAATGTGGCTTGCAGGACACAAGCAATTAAGTTGGGTCAGACTGGCTTTTGTTTGCCTGAAGCAATAGTGGAGTAATGTATGGCATAACAAGGTATGAATAAAGCTATAATGATCTCCAGCATGAAAGGGGTAACCACATACTAAGAGAATAAAGCACAAGAAAATGTTTTTGGTTTCAGAGCATAACAACTCTCACTGGCTGGCTGATACAACCTGAATTATCCTCATAGGAACAATGCCTGTTTAGAAGAAGTTGTAATATGCAGTTTCTCAAATGTGGGCCTGCAGAAATTTTGCAAAATTGATGCGGCCTCTCCCCCCAAGTTTAAATCTGCCCTGGTGTTCAGTACAAGCTCATTACAACAAACCCTGTTGGACTGAGAGAAAACTTTAAAAGAAGGTGTTTGCTAAAATAGGATTAGTTAAATCTGCTGCACCATAATTAAAAACCCAAAAAAGTCAGTTTCTGCTTTTGGGATTGTTAGTCAGGGGGTTGTGATAAACAGGGTTTGTCATCATTACCTCATTTGCTTGCTGCAGTAAAACCTCATTTTCTTGCTGCTTTATAATGTCTTGCTCTGCTTTGGCTCTTTCATCATAATAAATTTAAATCTAAGATTCCTGGAATGCAAAGCAGTAAGTTAACAAATGAAGAAAGCAAGCCAGATACCTTCTAGCGTAGGGACGTCAAAGATATGGCCTGCAGGCTGGACCAGGCAATGAAGCCATATAAACTGTCCCTCAGTGGTGCCTGCAGGTCTCGAGTAAGCCCACAGATGCAGCATGCAGGGTGTGCTGGATGGCTGTGTGCGCCACATGCAGCATTGGCTCCATGCTGGATCCACCACCGCATGTGGCACCTACTCCAGGTACACTGCATGCCAATACCCCCTCTGGCCACTCTGGGACACATGATGGATCTGGATTGCAGGACCAGTCTGTGGACCAGACCAACCCAACACCACTCATCCAGCCTACAGGGTGGCAAATGAGTTTACCAGCCCTGTTCTAGAGGTAGGACAAGCCTGTAGGCCAGGGGTCAGCAACATTTTAGGATAGAGCGCAAAAACACCTGCAAGCTCGGCTTGTAAGAAGTTGGTGTGCCAGGAGCGGATGGCAGGGGAGCTGTGAGGGGCCCAATCCTTGTTGTGGCAGTGCAGCCCTGGCCTCTTCCCTGGCGTCCACCCCCAAAGGTGCACATGCCAAGCAAAGTGCCTTCACGTGCCACACTCTGACACCCGTGCCCAGGGTTGCCTACCCCTGCTGTAGACATTGCTACTGGGATGCCAAATATTAGGAATTTCTTATTGTTGCTATTGCCCTTTTGTATTTTCAGATGATCATGGAAACTCTGCGGAGAAAGGGATGGTGGGAAATAAAAATCTGATTTTACCAAGAGGTAGACCTTGTAAATAGATGAATGAAAATCCTGAGTCAAAAAGCTTAGCAACAGTTTAAACAGGAGAAAGCTTAGCTGTCCAAGTAAGACTGCAACAAAGATTTAACCTTTTTTCCACATTGGTGTGACAACAAAGATAACAAATGGTTTCCAACAAGTGAAGTGAAAAACTAACCTAATACCACCTCCACCCCCATGTCATGTTCATACAGTCAAATTTCAAACTGTGAAATCTTTGACATGTGAGCAGCTATCACTGTTTTCAGAGTTTATTAATAAAAACTTAAGGTAAAACACAGTCAATAAACAATAGAAAACAAAAAATCAAAACCATTTCTTTCCATATTATTTCACAGTAAATAACAGTACTGAAAAATACTGTCCCAAAGTCAGGGGTCAGCAACCTTTTAGCAGTGGTGAACCAAATTAATGGCACTAAGGTGGGCCTGTGACCTGGCCACTACTGCAATCGCAGCTTCAAGAGCCAGAGCAATCTTTGTGGGCCAAATCTGGTCCACGGCCCTAGGGCTGCTGACCCCTGCCTTAGATAACAGAGCACAAAGGGTAACTCAGAATGTTGACATGTTAACTAAACTCTTAATTGGTGTTACAAAATACAATCTGTATCTTCTGAAGAGAAAGTATTTTAACATGTACAATAAATTAAATAGATACCATAAAGTCAGACATTTAAACGCTCTGTTTCGCTTGAAGCATGTGCATTTTTTTGTTATTTCCGTTACAGTCATAAACTTGACAAACTGCAAACTGTCCATCCTGATAGTACCTTATCTTTTCCCTTCTGTGACATTTAAAAAAAAAAAAAGCATAAAGAGCTACTGTACCATTTTCAATTACTAAACTGCATGACAACATAGAGCTCTATATAACATCATAAGAAAATTGGCCTTCAGCCATTTATAACAGAAAACGCCAAAAAAAAAAAAAAAAAAAAAAAACCTACCTGAGAAATGAAACTCTTCCCTTCAGACAATGCTTCACCTCACCAAGTAAACACATCAGCAGAATTTTACCTCTTCCCATACCTAATTTAGCAAAATCCCTGTGGTTACCGTAGTGTTTAAAGTACTCCAGGTAATTAAGGATGTGACAATTTTTAAAGTATTTGCCAAATGCTGAATAATTTAGCTTAGCATTCAGTGGCAGGAGCATTCAGGAACTGGGAAGGTTGGCAGGAAATAAGTGTACAGTGCGCTCTTGGGTATAAATCCCAGGGAAGCCCCAGAGTGCACTTGGAATGGTGTAGCAGTAAAACAGCCACATAACAGCTGCTATTTTAGCTCTTCAAAACTGTGTTAACTTGAACACATACACCTGCAAAACTGGATGGATAGATAACAATTAAATACATACCAAAGATTTGTCCTATCTAACCAGCTGCTGACAGAGAAGCAGTGACTTGGATACAGCCATAATGCTCTAGAAAGGAAACACGGTCTTCAGACTTGTATATAAATATATGAAGGATGCTTAACACCAAATGAAAGCACCCAAGTGCCCCAGGGTTTGTGCCAGTACACTCGGCAGTCATACCATTAGTAACCCCCCCAGCTCTTGTCTTGTCCTCTGACAGGGACTAAAACAATTTAAAGTAGGGTAACTTTGCCAACTCCACTGAGAGCACTTTTGACTCATTTCTCCCTAGATGCATTCAAGCAGTTTCTAACAGAACCCAATTATTCACCAACAGCTTCCTCTCAAAGTACAAATGAAGAAGTTTAATGCACTGATCAAAAGTGCAATAAACAACATAGGATACATCCCTGTGTAAAATTTAGTTCAGTGTTAACCCAGTAGGAGACTTTTGATTACACTGTTGTAAATCAAGATGGCAGCAGTAGTATACAGATTATTAGCTTGTATTTACATTTAAAAACTAGAGTAGTGCTACTTAGACATTTCAACACCCCACTTCTTTCTATCCAAAAAGAAAACAAGGATGGTTACAAAAAATAATTTGCAAATCCCAGGTTGAGAACCATGATTAAAACATCAAAGAATGGAATAAGTGACTGCCTTTCATATGAAGCATTTACCTGCTGCATATGGCTTATTATAATTAAACTGTGGATAATATTCCCCAGCACACTTCCACAAAGTAGTTAACAGAAAACCTCTCTTTTGTTACCAGGCTTCCAAACCCAGATTTCCTTGGGACATAATACAAGGAGGGGCCAAATGTCCTCCAATGTGCAAAAAGCTCTTGAGGCTTCCCCAACTTTTTATTTAGGACTACCTATGCAACCCCAACATAGCTCATTTATGCTGTTTCACAATGCAGTCACATGTGCTCTGAGTAACTGAACAATATGCCAGCAACCTGAGGCTCACCTGACTGCTACAGCTCCTAGGAGTGCTTCACATCAGTTGATCAATTTTTTTTTTCTATATCACTTTAATATGGATACTTTAAGCCAAATGTGGCCAACCTGTGGCATGAGAGCCACAAGCAGCAAGGGCAGCCTGCGTGTATGGCATGTGGCAGACTGGGGAGAGGGCAGGCAGTACAGTGGCAGAAACTGCACAGAGCAGAAAAAAGAGCAGCAGATCATGCAAGGGATAGGGATGTGAGCGGCATCTGGGGATGGCGCAGGGCTAATCTGTGGCACTCCTTCCAAAAAGGTTGGCTACCACTGCTCTAGGCAAACCAAATCCCCACTTTCCGCAAGGGTCAACCTCTGTGACTTCCATTCTCCTATAGCTAGGGAAGTAACAATCCCAAGGTCAGAGGCCAAACTGAATTAAGTCAAGGCATCTGGCCATGGCTCAAGTTTTAACTTTTTTTGCCATAACTCTATTTCAATTCTATCGTTGCCCTTCTACCTCTTTCTCCCAGTTGTCTGCTCAACTGCAACATACAACCTTCATTCTCTAGCCGTCTGGGGGAATGCCTGATGTAGATGTATAGAGTAGTACGTGCAGTATCTGTTACGTGAGATAAAATTAAACATCTCCTTTGAAAATGGATGAAAATTGTTCTTAAAAATTTGGAGTGAGGGGTACTGGATAGGTCCAATGGCACCAAACACATTCTAATAACATCCAGGTGATCAGTAGACTTGAATGACATCATCCCATTCATCAACAGGCCACATTCCATTGTACTGTACATTGGGTGGAGAGCTTTTCCAGTCCCATGTCTTCACAGGTTCCTTCCAGTCCTTGCCATAGTTGGCTTCAATATACTGGAGGGTTTCGCAGGGCACATGTACCTTGAGTTCTACAAACTCAGTCCAACACAGTGTAAACTTCGGAAACAGGTACCTATGTCAGAGTAAAAGACCACAACCATTAACAGAAGGCTAGAATGCAGGCATAACATTCAATAAGGACACCTAGTCAGTCACTACAGCATTTCACTCATGTTAATGATTACCAATCATTGTAAAGCTTGAGTATTACTATGTCTATGTGCTTAGTGCACTGCATTGATTGCACCTCTGTAGATAAGCGGTCTTTAAAAATACACAAAGGACGCTAAATGAGCAGTAGCTCATTGCTACTGCACAGTCAGCGCCACCAAGAAGCTGTTCAGGGATGCTACTGCGCAGTAACGTCAGTTACTACGCAATCATTTAGTACTTGTGTCTCATGTAGATGTGGCCAAAAAAAGCAAACCTGTTGTGGTGAAAGAAGCAACGGCAATTGCAAGGGCTTTATAGAGGCCCTTCCCCTTTCTCACACCATTACCAGAATGAGACAATCTAGCAATCCCCAGGTGATAACAGAGTGCATAGGACACAAATGTAGGTTCTCAGATCCTAAGAACATAGGTCTTATGTACACTAAGCTGATTTTCCCACTGCAGGAAAGCCAGATCCATTTTCTCAGCTATGCTGGCAAGGTATGAAGAGGACCATGGATAAATGGGGAGTAAAAGGAACAGTGGCCTCCACCCAACGGCCTCTAGTAGAAGGCTTTAATTCTGGTATTTCCTAATGCTTTAGTGCACAATACTTTAACATTGTTTTTCAGGTTGTATGGAACAGTTTGTTTTCCATAAGAGTTAATGGGAGGCAATGAGCCCACTAACAAAATCTGAGGTGGCAATACAAAGGAGGCCGTTACAAAACTTTGTCACTTTGGTTAAGTGTAATAATGGTGGATAGAGGGCTTATGAAAGCAAAATAATAATATGATGTAGGAGGTGCACCAATACATTGGTATAGAGAAATGAGTGGATGAAATGCTTAAAAAAAAAAAAAGGCCAAAAGTTTCTACCTTTCCTCAAACTGATTAAGCAGTGTCATCCATTTCTACACTGACACTTGCGTTTAAATAAAGTGCCAGGTCATACAGCAGCTGCTTGATATTAAGGTGCCATTTCCTTCCCCCCCCCCCACACTTTTGATTCTTGCTTTGCTCACTCAGACAGATTAAATAATTGATTCTTTCAAACCACCCTGACTTCTCACATTAGCAGACCCAGTGTAAATCTGCAACAACTCCACTGAGTTCAGTGGGTTACACTGGTCCAAGACTTCCATTTGATCAGAATAAGGCTCCACAGGTGAAAATGAAGCAGTCATTCTACCACCCAAAATATACTGAAACTTTTAATGTTTTCAAAGGGGATCACTCCCAAGTCTAATTGGTTAGAACATTTTCTCAGAGAGAAAAGCAGGTCTCAAATCTTTCATGGATTACAAAACATTGCAGGAAGAAAAAAAATTAAATGTTCAGAACTGTTAAGAAACAGATATTTGAAAGATGGATCAATGTTAAAAAATAGCTTGCCCCTTTAATAGAGCAATTTTAAACCACAGCATAATTCCAGCAAAAAACAAAGACCATTTGAATTTTAAATTATCAACTTAAGCAAAACAATAACTAAGCTCTTTGGGATCTGTACCCAAAAGTCACTGTGGTCAGTCCTAACCTATATTACACAGAAAAGATGGCAGCTATCAAGGGAAAAAAACAACTATTAAAATGGAACAACAATAATCAATTGATAAGTGGTATATAGCTGCTATTCACACACAGAAAGCATTTGTTTGTCACAGAGAAACAAAGTATACCAGTCCCACACATGCAAAGGCTATTAATAAAATACAAACTGCATATTCGAAAGGGGGTCTTCTCTGAATGATTTAAGAGGTGAACAAACGAACTGAAGTTTGAAACAGTCTGAAAAATAAGCAACCAAAGTGGGAATGCCATCAAAACTATTAGCTAAGCTTTATTAAAAATGCATTTTTACACTCAATAATAAAATCTATAAATCTTTAGTGATGCCCTTTACCATAGGAATCTTTGCCTAAAGAAGAGTTTTCTACTCAGAATGTTTAAAAACTAAGCTTTTCCAAAGATGCACAAAGAATCATCTGGAACTGAAAATGAGCAGACAATGCACGTACATAAAAGCAAAAAGGAGAGGTTTTTTGCACAATTTTTTCTTCTTTCCAAGTTAGAAAACATTTTCTTGGAGCTACTAGATTTGAGATGTTGTTCTGAATCAGTAAAGCCCACAATATAATTTAATTCACAGTACTGGATTTTTTGGAGGTAAAAAGTGTTTTTTTAATCAAAAATGCATTTTTTAGGCCTAGATACAGAAAATATGCAAATGTTTAACTTTCTATAGGTCAGAGGTCTCACTGACTTCGTGTGCTTGAAGATAAGCACAGGGCTTGTGTTTTTTTTGGCCGGGGGTGTCCCCCCCATAGCATCCATCCAAGCATTTCCTGTGAAGTTAGGAAACTGGTTCCCCAAGAAAAAACATTCACAAAATGAAAAAACAAAAGATCTACAATCCCAAACACTGAAAGTGACAAGACATGCTCCAAACAGAACTGCTCAAACACTTGGCATTTGCAGCATCCAACATCTAACTTTCCAACACCCTTCATCTTTTAAAATGACAAGTTTCTTGGAGTTGAAACCCTGCCTTCATGCACGACTAAAGTGGTAAGATTATTTCTGGCACTAATATATATATATATATAAAAACTGGTAAGGAGTCTAGAATGGCATATATTGTATTATAAGAGACACTGTTCAATCCTACCAATTTCCTAATAGAAGTCTGCAACATGCCCTCTTGGGCTAAGGAGCAACATTCCTGCACTCAGCATCAAATTAGAAGTCTTAGATGCTGCTGATCCTCAACCAGCTGCATTGTCTTCATAATTTGAAGAAAAAAAATGTTAAAATGCATAAGTGTATAATTGTTTATAGCTTAAACTTATCCAAATATGTGAAATAGAGTAAAATCATAAAGTTTCTACACCAATATTACCATGCTGCTAAGATTCATTATCCATTTCCCAAAGGGTTTTTTTTTTTTTTTTTTTTTTTTACAGTTTATTAAATACTACATTGTGGCTTTTCTACAGTATCTCTACAGCTTCTAAGCTCTATCATTTCACTCAAGAGCATAGAAATTCTAGTATTACCATATATTCTAGAAAGGTGAGGGCCAATCTTTTTGGCAGGTATGTCACAAATTAGCCCTGCACCCTCCCCAAGTGCCATTCAGATTCCCTTCCCCTGTCCGATCTACTGCTTTGCTTTCTGCTCCTTACCCTATCTACTACTGTGCTATCTGCTTCCTCCCCAATCTGTCATGTGCCACACACAAAGGCTGTGTGTGTCATTTGTGCCATGCATGCCACAGGTTGACCACCCTGTTCTAGAAGCACAAGTCAATCCAGACATTATTATAGGTTCACACGGTTCTGAAGGCTTGGACTTCACGACCAAAGTCTTTAGGTTAACACAACCTAAAGACTGCTTGCAGAGACTTTTAAACCCACCCGCCCCCAAAAACACAAAATAAATAGGCGCTATAATGTTAAACTCTGAGCCCTCCTGCACTGAGCCCAGAACATGTCCAGAAGAAGCAGTGTGTTAGTTGGAACCAGGTCGCCTGATGTCTGTATAGATTGCTTCAGTGGGGCTTTTATCCAACGGTTGATTGAATTAGCTATTAGATAAAAGTGTCAAAAAGCCCTGGTGAAGCACTATCTATACAGACGCTGCAGAGCTGGGTTGAAGTAACGTGCTGCTTCTTGCAGTAAAGTATGTTTTTTTGTTTTGTTTTTAATGTCTGCAAATAGCCCTAGTTTTCACCATAAATACTGCATGTGCTTACAACAGAACTCTATATAGCAATAATTAATTTTGAAGCTCTGTAGTGTTCTGTTTGATATTTAGGAATTCTCACATCTGCAAATTCTGCAAAATACCTTACTTTTGAGGTGGTAAGTATTCTTAAGAACTCATCTCAAACTGAAGAATCAAACTGTAATATGACCAAAAATGAATCACTTCTGGTTTGGATTACCAATTCCATTTCTTCATGTTCCAAAAATCATCCTGAAAGAGCTGAGGGCTATAAAACATAAGTACCTAATGGTGGCTGGGATAATAAGCATAAAAGTAAAGACTGCTCCGTTGAATGACAAAAAAATTCCCTCGCCTCTCCCCTTCCGAGAAGCTATTTTGTACTGGAGGATAGTGAGGATGAAGTGTTCTGAACATACATTCTCTATCACTGCTCGGGGCCTTTCTTAAACAAGACAGCTATTTTACATGCCCTTTCTGGTAGCCATTAAATGTGTTTTTAAAAATATACAGAAAGCAGTACTGTAGAATTTAGTTTTCATTATATTTTACTACTTTCAAAATCCACTTTGTCATCAGCCCCTCTTGCCAACTTTGTTAAAAAAAAAAAATGTAAAGAGCATTAGAAGAAACCTTTTTCTTAATCTATGGCAGCTGGAACATCTGTATCATCTGGAAAGACCAGTAGTACAGCAGCTGGTGCAAACCACTGGAGCACAAATTCAAAGCCAATGTTTGTTCTCAGAACTTGGGGTGGGGGAGACTCTGGTGTTTGCAGGAACAAAAACCATTGCTCTCAAGCCCCACCCTCCCAATAAGTGGTGCGAGATTATTTTGTAAAGTAACATCAGCTCTTTTGGAATGGAATTCAATGTCACAAATCAGGTGCGACATGAAGGCATACAGAGAAGGAAAGTTTAACGGTCCGCTTGGGTAAAATCCCCCACAACTCCATGAGGAAAAACTAAGGGTCAATGCACCCTAAGGGACAGCACAGTCATTTCTCAAAGTAAAATTGCAAATATAGCATCTCATTTACTCAACAAATTGATTCCCTTTGTCAATTTACACTCTTACCTTCTCAGTTCAGTGATTAAATAACTTTTTGCTGCAATTTACTCCTTATCCCTGCAAAGCCAAGGCACCCGAGGGAGAGCGCTGGTAACACTGTCTTTTGCATCAGTGTTTACTAATTTTCAATTAGCTACACCTGTGCAAAGGCACTCGGGGAATAAACTGGAAGATAATGGTGTCACACAGGTCTTAATTTGGTCTGCGAAACCTTTATTACTGGAAATGATGAGCAAGATGGAGAGAGCCTAAACTAACTCTCAATCCACTGAGAAAACTGCAAAAAAACAGCAAAATCCCGCCTTTTTACTGGCATATTTAACAGAAGAAACAATAAAGAACAGGGAATCACTTTCACAACAGCAACAATATTAAAAAAGAAGCAAAATGACAAAAGCATTTTACTGTAATAGTTTACATTACGTAAATAACTTTATCGGGAAAAGTGATTACCACAGAATCCCCAAAATACTGGGTTATTTGTAAAGGCAGACAAGACTCTTGCCCTAATCCCTAATCTCACACACACATGCTTGGAAAATTATTGCTCACTGAAAAATTAATAAATACAATAAAGGCCTGCCTATAAAAGAAGGAAAGTGTGCAAGCTTGAGTCCTATTTTACCTGTCCATTCAAAAGAAGTTAACCTTACTGCAGACAATATGTATTTGACAGAGCATATACAACACTGGTGAAGAGCAAATTGACAATGCTTGAATGCAGCACAGGTCTGACAAGGCACATAAGTGCCATGCAAAAGCTCTATTGATTCATCTCTTCCTGAAGCACCTGCTTGCTTAGGCATCGAACTAAGTGCTAACTACTGTAACTACCAATTCTATAATACTGTATGGTAACGCCACATTAAATATTATTACTCAAATATGATAATCTATTTAGCTACTTTTCCCTTCAATAGATGTGAATCTAATTCATACTTAAATTTCTTGCCCGATTTGGCCTGAGTTCCTCCATTCCATATGTGGTCATCCTCTTCATAGAAGAAAAAAATATCAAGTTTCACGTCACCTTCTCCTTGAAAGGAGAGCTCCAAGCTGTCTTCTACCTACAAGACAAATGTACATCTTAGGTACTCATAATCATACCCATAAGGAAAAACAGAAGGTTGCACACAATTTATTTGTGCAGGCAGGTTTCAAAGAAATCATGTCGCTGCACTCTCTGGTGTCCTCTCTTGGCTAAGTGAAAGAGATACTGTGGCTAACTCTCTTCAGAAGGACCAAAGTTCACACTAAGCAGGAAAGAAGAGAAGAGAAAGTGCTTGCCAAGAAGATACCTTTAACAAGTCCTCCCCCAAAAGATCAAATTGTTCACTTGTACTATGGAGGACAGATTTCAAAAGTTGCATCCTGAATATAGTATATTAGAAATACTACAAATGGAAGGTGGCTTGCGTTCAACTCAACTCTAACCTTGCTTTTGCAGATCTCATAGGAGTACTTTACTAGAACTCGTGCAGAAACCACAACAAACCATGTATTAAGCGTCAAAAGACTGAAAATTAGAGAGAGACAGACTCTCACATATAAGAGCAGAATAAACTTAATGAATGACTGATGAAAAGCAATTCAGATTTAACAATCTTTTCCTCTCAAATGCAATGTCCACTAGCACTAGCCAACGGTCAGTTTTTGTACTCCAACTTAAACAAAGACATAGTGACTTGGGAGATTAAACAAAGGCTATACATAGCCCCAGGTACTTAAGAACATAATAAGTGCCACAATGGGTCAGCTCAACAGCCCATATAGTCCAGTATCCCATCTCCAACAGTTGCAGGGTTGGATGATTTAGAGTGACAGCACTGAACCAAGTATATCTAAAGAGATTGATCCCCTATTCTTTACCCTCTCTGGCATCCACCATCTTATGTTCTGGCATGTCTGAACCACTCTGACCTAAATAAATCACTTCAGTTATCAGCTCTGAACATTTTTCCCCCTCAAAGGGCTCCTCTTTCCCCAACTTCTATAATATTTCCTCTTTGCTTCACCATTGTGATCCTATGCTGCATCTATGACTGCAGCCCAAGACACTGGCTTTGAAAGCAGGCCTACATAGACTAATACCCCTACGAGCAGGCTCAGTGTCAAACAACATTCCACCTTGATATTTAAAAGTTCTCTTGAACCTTAAACACAGCTAGAATCCCTTTTAGTTTATTGGTATTGTTACAGTAGTCATAATGGCCCAGAACTGTGAAACAAGCAAGGCTTGTTAAGTGAAGTAATATATTTTATTGGACCAACATGTCTCCTATCTTTTGAAGCTAAACAAGTTCGTCCAATAAAAGATATTACCTCACCTCAGAAGCCTTGCTTTTCTTAGCATTGTCTCTCAACATTATCACTATAATTATAGTAAGGTAAAATTCAGGGGCTTCTAGAAGAATTAGGACTCCATTATAAAAGGTACTTTACAAACACACACAGATACTGCTGCCCTTGCACCAGAAAAATAAAATAATTCAATGAGAGTAATCATACAAATAAACTGAGTTTCTGTATAAACATTTGCAAGATCAAGTAATGGACAAACCATGTGGACCATCTGTAGGACAGCTGTCATATGGTAAACAGGTGCTTGCAGTTACTCAGTGATAATGTGAGGCATCTTACTTCTGAATGAAACAGAGTGAAGCCCCCCAGTTCAGTTTTCACTTAGAATGTAACTACAGGCACACAAACAGGTACTGTATATCAGCTGTTCTCCAGTAAGTTCCCACACCCAGCCAACTTGCTTTTATTTGGTTGTTCACTGACACTTTAAGAGAGCTTTCCCCATTAAAACTATTTGGAAATATATTCTGAGGGCATGAACCTCGAGAGAAAATTGTTACAATAATGAAGGATAAAGTTCATATAGCGAGCCACACACCTTGCCAAACTTGTGCTTTAGTGGTAATCCTGCCTTCCAAAATGCTGGAATGATATCAGATTTGTAGTCTTTTATAAAGATCCCCAAATCAACATCTTTGCTGTAAGGAATAATATTGCACTGTCTATACCAGCCTAAAAAAAGACAAAGGAAGCGAGTTCAGAGACACAGTAAAGTCAGAACTGGAGCTGAAACAAGGCAAAAATTAAGTGTCATATTGCATCAGGATCAAAAGGTCTTTAAAGGAGGTGGCAAACAGTCTTCTGCTACACTCTGCAGAGACAAATTGGTCATGAGGACAAGAAACAGCTGTACTCACAGCTATCCATCTTCTCCAAAACTGTTAGGACTTTGAGTAAACCTGTTCTACTGCGACAAAATAAAGATCCTTCAATCTTGCCATTTTTCTAATTTACAATACAATATTACTTGGAGTGATGCAATACACTGAACAACTGCTTTTGGCAGAAATATTTACCATTTCACACAAGGCCTGCTTGACATGTCAAAGCATTAAGCTCTACAGCAGTTCTAAAAAGGGATTATTTTATTAATTTGTGGACCCCTTCTGACTCAATAGTAAAAGCTTATTTTAACTGCACTGTATATTTGACACTGCCTTCAAATACTTAACAGATGCTACCTATCAACTGCATGCACTCTCCTATTAATTTCAATGCTTGGTATTGAAACTAAACAGGATGAAATATTTCAGATTTCAAATAAAACTGCAATGTGTTGAAAAACAAGACAACATAAGCAAAGACATTTTTTACCAAGGCATGTTCCACTGCTCAGCCAGAATCTCACTCCTAAGTTATTTAGCGTTAGGGCAGCCAAATGCAGCAGTGCTTTTGCTTTTTTCCTGAATTCCACTGCATCCAGGGAGGTATCATCAGGGTACAGCTAAAGAGTTAATGAACATTAAGTTACTTTCAGACAAGTGTACCTGCACCTTAACTTTTGAAAGGTTCTCTTAAAACTGAAAGTTCCCTCTGTTTAAGCCTCCCTTCCCTTTATTAAGTTTTCCAAACTGATAAATATATAAAATGCAATTGTCAGAAATCTCTGCAATACTTACTGTTCTGAACAATAATGAATATTGATCCCAACCCTGCTCTCAGTGAAGTTAGAGAAAAGATTCCCAATGACAACAACTGGGAACAAAAATTGGATTCACTGCCATGATTTCCAGCACAATTTTTAAAAATTCTTTGGCGCCACCCAGTGCTACAACTGTACATTAATCTTGTAAATTGGCAATAATTACCATTATTAAGAAAGAAATAAAGAAGAGTTTAACAATGAATTGCATCATCAACCCCCATGCCCACCCAACCCCCTACCTCCTCCCATGTTGCAAGATCTGTAACGCAAGAATATTAATACTAAGCAATACAGCCTAAACAACAGACATTAAAATAAACTTTATCAAGTATACTGAGTACATTACTATCAGCTGCTAAATACCCATTTCAAAATACAAATGGTGAAAGTCATACAACTCAGAGAACTCCTGAAGCCTCCAGTGCAAAATGATGCATGCCCATTGCTATTCTCCTTTTAGAGAGGATTCATATTTATTCTCTTACACCCATGTAACACTGATGATGGGGGCACTGAGAATACAGAGTTATGACTGACTGGCCTGAAAAAGGATTAATTGTAAAATTTACGGACTGCAGGACAAATTCATTTCCCCTCAGTGTGAATGGGTCCCTCAAAAAGAGTTGAAATAATTTGCTATCAGGTGTTTTGTCCCACCAGTATACTCCAGAAAGGACTGGATGCAGGGATTGCATCCGTGTTCCAATGCTGGATAGGGGAACAAAGGAGAGCCTCCTAGATTCCCACATCCTTTGCGGTAGTGGTTCCCAACCTTTTTTATACTGCAGACGGGCACAGGAGTGAGACAGGGAACACTGAGCCGGCTGCCTCCCTCCCTGGGCTGCCCCGCCACCCAGCTTTAACCCTGCATGTAATTGTTGGCGGCGGAAGCTGTTCACCTGGGCAGACAGACAGGGGTCCAAGCAGAGAGGCTCATGCCACGACCCAGCAGCCAACCCTTCACGGCCCGGTACCAGGCCGCGCCCTGGTGGTTGGGAACCTCCGCTTTGCAGGCAAAGCAGGAGGATAAAAATCTATCCTGCTGCATGCCTGTGTTTGGAGCCACAACTTGAAGCGCATGCTTAAAAACCCAGCAGAAAAATCTAGCAGAATATGTAGTCTTTAAAACTTTATAGCATAATTTCTAAAATAGATTTGCTGAAAACCATATAGGAACAAATCCTCACTGAGTAAGGACCTTGCAGTGTTACCACACAATTACTACTTACTCGTGTTAGTCTTAATCATTAAGACTACAACACCAGGCCTAAGTTTATGCCAACTTTGAGTACAACTAGGTCAGTTTCAAGACAACAGAGCACACATGAACACACAGGGGAAGATCTGGGGTGGGGGGTGATGCACTGGTGCACTTGCACCCCTCCTTTGATTCCTGGTCTACTCAAAGTTTAAAGCCAACTGCCTGGCAGTGGCAGCAGCATTTCTACTCAGGCAGTGCTGAGGGAGTCACTTGACTTCAGAGGTCATTATAATCTACCTGACCTCTTCTTAACTCTTCATTCCACATGCGTTAATGACCCTCTCCTTTTTAAGAGGGTTGATGGTTCCACCAATAAAGCTGCCCTTTATTCTGCAATTGTGCTGTCTGTTAGCTGCTTCTGGTAAAAGGCTCCAATTTCGCAGCCCTGCAGATTGTTTTAACTCATTGCAATGAAGTTATATTTGTTTTTGCTTCAATATGAAACTGAGTAATACAGCCCTAAACCCCTAGCATATTAATTTATTTTTAACTGGAGAAAAATGTATATTGTTTTATACGTGCTGATGCATCTCGTCATCCGCACCCCCCCCTTTTCAAAATTCTAGATCCATCCATGCATGCATGTGCATACACACGCACACAAATTTTTCTGCTCCAACGTTGGGATAAGTCAGATAGCAGCCTTAAATTTTTACTTTGGATTAGTAAAATTTCAGCCCAAACTGTCATTCAAAGGGCCACAAGCATCTGAAAGATGGAGGTGGGGTGGAGAATTGTTGAATGGACATTTTCTCAAATATAAGCACTAAAACTTCAGCACAGTAATACATGAACAAGCCTATAAAGACCAGAAATTTAAAAATTGCTACTACTATTGGGAATTTGAGAGAAGTTAGACAGCAACACCTAAACACAAAAAGATAGGGTCTGTATCTAGGGACTTTATTTACAGTAAAGTCACTTTACATACTTGGGTAGCATAAAAAGGGGCCTTAAAGTTATAACTCTGTATTTATTCTTCATATGGTTTCAAATGTGAAAACATTTCTATAACTTTGAATAGATTGACCTCCTTTTAGTTAGGAGTTATTCCATTTTAGTAGCTTCTGAGAACAAAGACCCTTATCCTGTACTTACGTACTGCATTAACTTTGCACATAGGTAATCTCATTCAAGTCAAGCACATGGGTAAGTGTTTTTAGGATCTGGACATAACAATACAAATGAATTTATAATTTCAGAGGAAACACTACCTGCTTACCACTAACCTGAAAGAAAGCCCGAGCTTCTCTGTACCTACATTCAAGAAATCTAGCGTGTGACATCTCCTCTAGAAACTGGGACGGATTTTTAGGAATCTGAACTTTCAATTCATCAATGGAAACAGGGAGAAGTACTAGCCTGTAGTGAAAGAAAGAGAGACATCATTCTCCTGTCCAAGAATGCATCAGCCATGATAAATCAAGAGCCACTTCTATGGATCAGTTTGTGAAGCTATTCAAATATTTTAACTCATGTAGTAGATCCTATATCTAAATACACAACTCAGGACAAAAAATAGTGTGACAACAACTTTAAATATTCCCCATGAGTTAAGACATAAAAAGACAGGGTTTTAAAAAGTTAGACTCATAAACCCCTATTTAGGCACTTAAATCAGTGACCTTATTTTCAAACATGCTGAGGGCCAACAGCTCTATTTACTTTTTTGGGAGCTGCTAACTACTCAACACATTTGAAAATTCAGACCATTTAGTCAGCTTGCTAAGTATGTATGGACTCAGGAGTCTATTTTAGCTTTAAAAAAAATCTTGGCCCTTGAATTTAAAGGCTTCCTTACTTTCATAACAATGACAATTTGAGTGGTATTTAACAGTTAATTCACTGGACATTAGATCAAGACAAGTAACAAGTTTGAGATTCCAAGATTTAGGGTAGGTCTCATGACTCATTCTTAATAAAAATGAATCAGTTTATTTAACCTGCAAGTGTTTCTGTTCCGATTTATTGTTACATTCACACAGTCTATGGGAATATCACTCTCAAAGCCTCACTGTATACATCTGGCTTTGTACATACTGTAATTAGCCTATGGATTTACCACTCTCCTATGCAGAAATACTATGACTGTAAACACTGAACAGATGAAAGCAACTTGGAAAGCTAGAAAGCCAATACAGAATAAAGATTGCTCACAAGAAGCAAATATAGAAAAAGAAAAAGACAGAATCAAATCACACAAGTTTCAGTCAGCCATTACTGAGCTCTTTCATTTTTTCCAGGTGTTGAGCAATCACTTTTCCCAGAGGTATAACTTTCTTCAGGTTCTTACACTATTATACAAAAAGCTCTACTGCCATTATTCCTGGCACTACCATTTTACTATGCATATTGTACCTGATCCAAAACTCACTGGAAGGAAAAGAAAAAAAGACGTTGAATCAGGGCTTGAAGGAAAAAATGTAGTAAACTCTTAATCTAATCAAGCCTAAATCCTGAGGAATATTGGAGGCAATCTGTAGAGAAGGCACTTTCTTCCAACACACCTATTTTAGTCTCTTACCATGACTATAAAAATGGGAGAAGGGGGATAGCTGTAGGTACAGCCTTATAAACACATAATTTACCCAATCCAACAGGGTATTTCTATACTGCAGTCAAGAACACATCTGCAGCTTGGGCACACATATACAGACCAATTTAAAACTAGCTTCCATGCCTCTATACAAGCTGCAGTCACACCCTTGACTGCAGTGTGAACCTATTCAGACTCAGTACATCTCAGTCAGTCAAGTTACTTAACCTGGCTCCTTCATGTTCCATATTTTAGAGGAAAGTAGTGCAGTACTTTCTAAAATCAATAAGGGTGTTGTGAGGGTCAATGCTCTGACTATGAAAGGCATTTTAGGTGAACCACTGGCAACTGATTTCACTGATGCCCAATCAGATTCTGTTACTGCTGCTATTGTGACTGAAATTGATTACAGCCATTCCAGATTTTCTGCAACATTTAAGCAAAATTCCAGCTAGTCATTTTCACATTAGTTAGGTGTGAAGAAAGTGGGTTTTTGCTACTTAAGTCATTTATTAAGTGTGTCTGCATGATGGGATAGCCAAAATCACTTATTTTTTCCAAACTTGTTATGGAGTTCTGAAGTGAACCTAAATCTGATGACTAGCAAAACCTTGTACCTGTGCATAAATATGGGTTTCCTTTCCAGCATGCACAAATATGGGTGAGGGTTGGATACAATGGGTGCACATACATTTGAGACTCAGGGTAATGACAGAAAAGAGAGCCCCCTAATCAGTATGCTCCAAAATTTGTCACTAGGTACCACTAACCAGGCTTTGATTGCATAGATAGCCTTCGTTTTCTCCATGCTCAGGATTTCAGCTCTTAATCTCTTTCCAGAAGTTTTGTGTTTAGATAATTTCCTTAATATCAAACACTGCTAATATGATGATCCCTATTTTGTCCATCATATTGACTCTAAGGCAGACAAGGTTCTCTGGGTAAATGTGACAAGTATTTCAGATGGAAGATGACAACCAGAGCTTTTCAATTAACTTTGTTCCTGACAAGATAGACCATGGATGCTTGTTCAAAAGAATGCTATCCTACCACTAACAAATTCTGCATTAGCCTCTTACAGGATCTCATTCCCAAGTTAAGACACTTCACCTCTGTCTCAATTTTTCTATCTATAAATTAGAGAAAATCCCTGCTTTGGATTTATTTTCATAAATGTTTAATTTACCTACATTTTAAATTAACATGTCAATTGAGTTTCATAACCCACCTTTGAAAATATGAACTATTGACTACTAATATATAAGTAACGAACCTGAAAGTAGTATCAGAGGTGTTACATCCTTCTCTTTATTTCTATATTTTAACTTACTTTCCATAAGCTCCAGGGTAGCGACCAAAGTGCAGCTTCCGGAAAGGCACAAATTTTCTGTCCATGTGTTGTTTTAGCCGCAACTGGCCATGCCAGAGGTAGTTACCACTCCTCTCATAAAAGACTACCACATGGATGGCATGAGATGCCAATCTGAAGATATAGTGTAGTGGAATTTCAATTCCAGAGAGGTCATCCATCCCTTCCAAGCGGGGGTCTTTGTTTTGAATCTTTAGCCATTGGAACCCCATTTTCTCAGCAGATCTAAATAAGCCTGTCTATGAGTCAGAGAAAGAACATGAGTTGCAAAGTGAGCAAAAACAAGACATAAGTACCGTAAGTGCCAATTCTTCATACACTTATGCTGCTCCTCATTTCCATCCGCACAACGTAGATCAGAAATCAAGCCCCAACTATTCCAGGAACTTTCCTAAGTCCTTAAAAGGGGGGTAGCTTTATTTTCCCTAAAAACTTTTGCACACCTGAGCCAAGACAATTGTCAAAAATAAACATTTAAATATGTTTTCTAAAAGAAGATTCTCTTAGTTTTGTAGTGCAAAATGAACCTATACTATGAATTCCCCTTTTGTGGAAAGTCAGAGATCTCTTCCATTACTGTGTTAACCCTAAGTTGAACTGAGCTGCTGCAGTAATCTTGGCCACCTGGCTTTTATCATAAAATAAAATAGGGTCTAGATTATATTTCATCACAAAGAATTTAAAAATCTTATATTACTGAAACAAAAGCACAGACTCTAAAAGTTAACTGACAAGCAAAAATGTTGCAGTATCCAGTAGCTGTCTCTAATGAATCCGTCCCTTTCTAGTAAGTCTCTCTTCTTCCTTTTGAAAGATATCCACCTCTTAAACATGTTTCAAAGGACTTGCACATTTTGTGAATAGCTGCCTCAGGGGTACCTAACTGATTCTTCATTTTTCAACCTTTCAAACATTATGTATGACTTCCCTCATTGCTGATAGCAGTTATTCTCTTCCAGGGACCCACAGGTCTTATATCTCAAGTGGGCTATTACATGAAAAGCTTTCAGCACAAGAAGTTTCTGAAAAAGCCTATATGCACTACTAATACCATGACATCAGTTCCAGACGGTGAACCTTCCCTCTGTTAGCATTTAAATAAGAGAATGTTCTGTTAGACAACTATCAACCCTATAATGGAAGGGCGCATCACAATACACAAAAAAGAACCAAGAAAAACAACCTACTTCATGTTTCCATGTTTTGTCCAGTAGTGCAAATGTGGTAAAGTCCCTTGGAGCACAGAAATACTTGCATTCTGGGCTACTTCCATCAGAAGAACTTCTGAGCTGCTTGATGTCTTTATTTATTAGTCCCAGAACCAAAGGATCAATAAGATACACTGGTACGTTGTGACTGGACACTAAACCTAAGAATTTCTTAACCACATGCTGTTTGGAAGAGTGGAAAAAAAGAAGTTAGAATCCTTTTATTTAAGCATGTAAAATAAATGTTTTAAAATAAACAATCCACTGGTATTCAGAACGAATCTCTCTCATGGTCTTCTGTAATGAGAAATCTGCCAGGTCCAAAGCTACATGCAAAAGTGAAGTGCGTGTACAGAAAAGTGGTGCTGTCCTGAGACATACATGAGAGTAAAATCCTTTACTGACTGACTATCCTTTATAGGCAGACTGACTGACTATGTGCCAAGGTCTTTCCACAGACAGACAGGAGTATTCCCATCCAGGTTCCACACATTTTAAATTTATCATGCCAGTGTTTCTGCTCACAGCACTTACACTGTACAACAGAGCCCTCTGCAGGAGAGAGCGGGGGGATAAGACTAGTTTCAAGATATTGTCTGATAATCATTTGTCTATCAGCACAACAAAAAGTACTCTAAGGGTAGTGAGACATTTACAGCCTTTTCTGCTTTTAGAAGTTAACAAACAATGTAAGAAAATATTTTTGAAACTACAAGTTGTTCCATCCCTATAAATCAGAAGACTGTTAGTCTCTTTACAAGTCTACATTTAAAAATTCTGTTCAACAGTTTTTATATAGTCATTTGAATGAGTCAACCCTTCAAATATGGGAGAAAGAAGTTTATAATTACAACTGACAAACACTATATAATTAGCATTTAGGTTTTCAAATCATTACTCAGATTATCCAATTAAATTTTATCACCATACCAGAAACATAGATAAGCATTAACTTTATTTGCCAATGAAGAAACTAAAAAAGAAAGCAAAGGAGATTATTATAAAATATAATTTTTATAGAATATATATAAAATTTCATAACAGCTTTTACCACAGGACAGACTAACACCATTAAGAGTCTGTGTTATCAGACGAACACAGATAGACTAACACTATCTGGGTTGCTTATATGACCAGGCTGTTTGGTTGTTCCAGTAAACAGAAGCTGAGAAATCATAGTAGCTACCTTCTGTCAACTTTCTTCTGTCATTTTATAGCTTCTAACACAAATACAATATGCATTGTTCAGGAAAGCATATGTACAGTGTGGTCTCTGGACTTCAATATACTGAGAGTGTTCTGACAGTCATCATTATAAAATATGACAAAGATGTAAGATACTTATTTTAACAAGAAGAGCATGTTACGGTGATTTGTTAGTTTGACTCATACAATGGTAACTTTCAATAAGACATGTTCACCTCTCCACAGAACATGAAAAAAAACAGTATTTACAGCAATATATCACAGCATGGCAGCAATTAGAAGTTACTTCATCCTGCAATACTGAATGAAATTAAATCAATTAAAAGCAAAGGCCTCATTGTAAAGTTTTACTCTGAAAAGAATGAGTGAACATGGCCTTGTGGAGTTCAGATTCATTGAGTCTCAAGGTAAAACAGGGTCATATAAAGAGACTGCCCCATCCCCTCACTAACAGCTCTGCAGACTGGACCTGGCATTGGGGGGTGGGACAGGGGTATGCATGCATGTGTGTCTACACACGCACGCAGGGGTGGGTTGAGTTCCATATTCTATATAAATGCATCCAATTTATGCAGATTAAATTCTGATACCTTTACAATGCCACTGGCTTCAGCGGAAGGGTAAAGATAACATAAGTATAACAGGATATAAGACAAAAAATATAATTTAGGGAACTGTTCTGTGGATCTTGTTCAGGGAGAAACAGAAAAGATTCTTGGTCTCTTAAACCCAAAGAGCCAGCACAACTAACAAGAGAGTAAAAGTGCTAAAATTTTTATTATTGCCATTAAAGCAAGCAGATTTGACTCAGTTCTATGCAGAAAAAGGTACCATCCTTGCTGTCACTTTTCAGAGAAGAAAGGCTCTTCAAGTTTACACTAAAACAAGCAGGAAAAAGGAGTTCTGCTGTCAAGAATCCATGAAGGATTCAGCCAAGTAGAATAATGTAAGACTCGATCCCTCAGGGATTAGCTGAAAGTTGGGAAGACACATGCAGTGAGCCACAGGCAAATGTCTGGAGCATTCTGCTTTGTTAATAATACTCCAATAGGGTAAAGAAAGAGCTAAAGGGAAGCACTCTGCCTGCAGGCAGTTGGACCAGAAAGAACATTACGTCCCATATATGTCACACAGCACCATGTTGCTGATTATGAGGACTGTCACTACTTGGAATCTTCAGGCATTTCTGTGTCAGCGAACAGTCCTCATGTCTGCTTCTGCTTTGACTTTCTCCAAGTGTGTTGGGGACAGCGGAGACAAAGCCCCCAAAGCTAAAAACCCAGCTTGACGTCCTTTTAAGAACTGGGAATTTCTAAAAAGCATTTTCACTGCTTTTAACTTTCCTTACCTGAAGCGGGGTATCTTTTAGATGTCAGCATCATTACACTGTATGTCAGGCCAGTAAGAGACATCCTGTACCTCACCCAAATTTCTGAGAGGTTAAAAATGGCTACAAGCATTTCTGGTATAAAAATCAACAGCCATAATGCATACTGGATGACCTCATTCTCCGACCCTAGTGATACATCTGTATGTTGAGCTTGTTTAAAGAACAATGTAAATATGGTTACAATTAAAATTTGTTTTCCTAGACTATGAAACCTGTTTATTTTTTGGAAGGAAAAAAAAAAAAAAAAGCTTGCATTGCACTAGTAAACCTATTGTAAGAATAAACAGAACCTGTTAGAAGTCTGGTCAAGACGTAGCAAACACATCCTGTAAGAGGTTAGGACCTGCAACTCCCAGGAACTTACCTGGTCATATTCAAGCCTCTAAGGTCAAACCTGATGCTGTTTAAATTGGAACAAATTTCCCAGCGACTTAACTGGAAGCAGACTTGCACCCATACTTTGCATTTTTACAAGTGTTCTTAGAGACTTGCAAGATGCTGTAATCAACACACTACATACCCATCTTGTGTTGTCCTGTCCTGACTGGCTTCCTTTGACTCTTGAAAAAGCTGGTCCATTCTAGCAAGAAAAAGAGAGGAAAAGATCTTGACAGCTACAAAATGCCAAATGTTAGCTGCTTAGTCTTGCTTTAAAAAAAAAAAAAAAAATCTGGTATGTTTTTTCATTTAACATTTTAGACTGCAGGTTATCATCATTTAAACACAACATGGAGTACAAAGCCAGGGCCAGTAGATTCATTTAAATATAGTTGGATGGACAATGCAAACCAGTGGGAGTTTTGACTAAGCTAGCATTGTAGGCTTCAAAAGGTGAGGAGCCAATTAATAAAAGTAAAAATAAAAAGGACATGACAAATCCAAGTAGCTCAGAAATACACTATGGGTGCATCCAAATGAGCGTGGGCATGCAGTATGTGGTGCCACAGGGGTCTGTGGCGCAACATGCTGCACATGCAAGTGTTTCCCATGCTGCTACTTTGCAGTGGGGGGGGGGTTTGACCTCATGAGATCCCAGGGTCAAAAAACCCCACGTCTAAGAGAAGTGGGGCAGTGCATGTGGCAGCAGTGCATGCTGCCCAAAACCAGAGCCTGGCTGGCCAGAGCCATGCTCCAGCTACCGGCCAGGTTCCCTGCTGCAGGAGAGCTGTGGCTGCACCTCCTGGAGGTCCCTAGGTAAGATTGCTGGGGCCAGCACAGTTGCTGGCCCCAGCCTCCCCTACCCCACTAGGGACAATGTGCAGCATACCAGAGCATGCGTGACATGGATGTTCCCTGGGGACAAGTAGCGGCAGCGCAAGATGTGGCCCTGC